GCGGTGGTGGTGGAGGGGGAAGAAGGGATCCGGGAGCTGGAGAAGGTAAAGGGCCACCAGGAGCTCCTGGTGGCAAGGGAGGTCCTCCGGGGCCGGCAGCACAGATCGCCCTCTGGGAGAGAAAGAGGAGGGGGGACCGGTCATACAGAGCCGGGGGATACCACTCAAGAAACGCCCCCATCCCGATTTTTAATTTTTTGGCCAAAATTTAACCAGCACAGGAAGCACTCAAAGGCTTCAGCACTCCTGACTGAGGTCTGATGCAGCTGGGGAGGCAAAATCACCCCATCACCAGGGACGGACATGTTGGTGGTCCCCGCAACAAGCACCTTTCTCAGCCCCCTGGGCAGCTCAGTCTCCAGAAATCACCCCACGGTGTTTGCGGGGGGTTTGGGACTGGGCCACAATGGGGAGGAGGTTTGGGGCCTCACCCTGCTCATCTCGTGGAGCTGTGCTGTGAGATCCGCCACCTGCTGCTTGACCTGCTTGTGCTCGCTGGACTCCTTCTCCAGCTTCTCCTTCATCTTGTTCAGTGTCTGCATCATTTCTTCCTTCTCCTGGGCCTTGGCATCGCACTCCCGCTCCTTCTTCTCCAGCTTCTGCTGAAGCTCGCTGTGCTCTGAAACAGCCCCACGAGACCACTTTTGGGTGACAAACACTCCCTTTTGGCAAATGGCAGCGCGTGGGGGACTAAGCCTCATGCTGCCCTGTGGAGAAGCTGCGCAGTTAAGAAAAGGGAGCATGTGCTGTGCCTTAATACCCTGGCCAGGGCTTCCCCATGAAAAAATGAATCTCTCTTTTGCCTGTTTCCCTTGTGAGCCCCATGGCATGATATTGTCTCAGCCAATCAATAAAGCCTGCAGAGTCATCCAGCTAAATACATGTGTACATTATCTGTTTAGTTTACTGTGCATGCCAAGGTTGAAGTTAACGCTGTATCTCTCTCCATTACTCACCTTTTCGCATTTTTTCTGCTTGCTCTTTCCACTGTTTCACTTCATTTTCATTGACTAACCTAAAAAGAAAAGACAAGTGGTACAATGAGACAATCCTACCACAGTAAACAAGTGGCCATCACCAGCAAGAAACACAACTGAACAAGCCTGGGCAGTGGGATTTAAGGCTCCCAAACTGGTATTTCCAACACCTCCACTCTGCCTCCCCCCGGCAGGGTTTTGCAGGCTGGGATGCAGTGCTGTCTCAACAGCCCCGGGGATGCTGGCTTGTCCAACCAAGGAGCAGAAACATCACTGGGTGACAGCAGGTTGTGAATAAGGAACAGTGACAGCAGCAGTCAGGGGAAATAGCTCACCAAGGACACAGAGCTTGAGCTTAATACACCTGCACATAGTGCTCAAGAGGTCAAAGTGATGCCAGCCTGGCAGGGATAACCCCTAGCCCTGGCCCTCTCGTCTGCTGGAGCAGGAGGCAGCAAAGCTGTGGTGGCTCGTGCCAGTGCTGCTCAGCACCCAGCCCCGGAAAGGCAGGTGAGCACTTACATTCGGACGACGTTTTTAATATTGAAGTTTTCCAAGGGAGTGGCATCGGGGTCCTGCCCTTTGTCACTCTGGATGACGATTTGCTGCACGATCCTGTCGAGCAGCAGCCAGTACTGGACAGTGTTGCCACTTCTTTTATCTGAAGGGGAAGAAGGGGAGAGACTGAGGGGAGCAGCAGGGAGGTCGCTGCTGTCCCTGGGGAGGAGATGTGGGCTGCCAAGCCCCCAGCAGCTGTGGGTTTCCTCGCCTCCCCCAGGACTCACAAGGCATTTGGAGACAGTGGTGCAGGATAGACATAAAGTGCGGGTACGCCTCAGTGTGTGTTAGCCTTTTCCTCGTCAGCTCAAACATCTGAGTCGCACTTTTGGTGTCGATGTGGACCTGTGGACAGGAGCGAAGCGAGGTCAGGCCATTGGACTGGCAATGGCACCACCTGTTTCCCGAGTCTCAGCTCCAAACCCCAGGAGCCATGCTCACCCCACGCCTGATGGACAGACAAGCCCCACTGCCCTGCAAGGGGCAAAGAGTTCTGGTTGGCAGCCAGGAATGAAGCAGGCTGTTGGATGGAGGCTGCAACAGAACAGGGCAAGAGGAGACAGATTTCCAACCTCCAAATTTTATCCAAAAGACCGCACTTCATCCCAGGCCATGTAGGTGCTTTTAAAAGGAACCGTGACATCGAGTGCCAGTGTCTGCATCAGCAACGTTCGTACTCACCAGCTCAAATCTTTTGGCAAACTCCAGTTCATCTTCATTTCTAAGCATTTCGAAAAAATCTAAGTGCCTGAAGAAAGAAAGGGGGGAAAAAAAGACTGTTAAAAGTAGAAATGAAGGTGACAATTAATAAATCGCAGGCAGCCAGTCTGGCAGACCTTCCAGAGCAGCCCACTAGCCGGCAGCAGCCCAGAGACAAGCAAGACTTGAAACATCAACTGGATATTCAGTCTTGAGCTCCCAGTCATTACAGCCTTTCCAAGGAGTCTTTTGGGACAAGAAGAGGAGGAGGAGGGCTGGCAGCATCCCCCAGGCCCACAATGGCACACCCTTCCTGGCTCAACCCTATACTGGAGTACAGCAAAACAGCGCCGGGCTTTTTCCTCTCCCTCTCTGGTGACAGCAAAGAATTTCCTCAAGAGAGGCCAGATTGATAGTCTAGACCCACATGTCTTCCCCAAAGGCCAAGCCTGGAAACCAGAAAGCAAGGGCACAAGGCAAGGGCAAAAATAACTGCCAGGCTGTGAGTTATTACTCACCGGTCAAGGGTTGAATTTTCATGCTCTCGTAGTTTATCAATGACTGGCTGGATCCCAAGCATGAGAAATTCATATCTCAGGTGGAGTCTGAAATCCAGGCTTTCCTGCAGGGGACAGTTGTGGGGTCAACACAGCAAGGTGCATGTCCTTGGAAACTGAAATCAAACTACTGAAATCAAAACACCCGAACCCACCAAAACACCTCCCTCTCCAAGAGCCCCAGCGCTCACCACGCCTGCCCCTTGGCTCAGGACTGCGTTGATGAAGGACATGATGGCTGTCTTGAGACTCACTTCATCCCGATACCGCCCTGTGCTCTTGTCCAAGTCATTGATCAGCGTCTGCCAAACATGCAACATCAGTTAAATGTCCAGTGACAGCCCCAATGCTGCACAAATGGCCAGGGGATGCATGCAGGAACAAGTCCTTGTGGTGCTCCTACAGCCCCCATAGCAGCCCTCTGGTGATGGATCATCAGCTGCTGCCTGCTGTAATGCAAGCCCACCCCAGCACCCGTTTTGGCTAACATCAGCCTATCCAGATGTGCTAGAGCCTTACAGAGCTGCAATCCCAGTGACCCTGCACAAGCAGGCATTTTTTGGGGGGGGGGAGCCTGCTGCCTTAAATAACTGGTTCCTCACTCTTTGCTCAGCTGCACACCTCATCAGACATGGTTCTGGAGTAATTCCCAGAGTATCTAAGTTGCACATGGCCATAATAAATCATTTGCAAGTGGCATTTACATATCCAGGAGGAGGAAGGGGCAAGAATACTGAATTTCGGGAGCCGAGGGGCGAGTCAAGACCCACCTACCTGAAAACGAGTCCGTTCGCTGGCATATTTCTGGTAGTGCAGCATTGCCTCCAGTACCTTTTTGTGGCCGCCAGGAACCAGGCACACAGCGCCCATGATTTCCAGCACTGCCACCTTCGTCTTAATATTCTCCGTGCTCAGACTCTGAGCGATTACATTAATACTCTCCGAATGGGCCAGGACATGAGCCCGACCCAGGGAGTTGTTCATTAGTGCTTTTATACATCCAATGAGCGAGGTATGTATTCGAGACTCTGCTGTCTCATAGTCCATGCTTTTGAGAAAGTTCAGAATACACGACAAGCCATCCAGGTCGATGAACCGGGTTACAAACCTGCCAGAAAGAGGCTTTTTAGCTTTAAAACCAAATGCTGAAGGACCCTTTTAACCTCACACAGGTTGTTTGTCTGTTGTTGTAAACCCAGAACCTTCTTATCTATTTTTTCCTGGACTTTGGATAGCAGAAAGCCTGCAGACTTAGAGCACAGGGACAAGGTTGTGAAAATCTTAGCAATTTAATCTGTGCCTGGTAGCACAGGCAACCAGGCATCATCTGCACAAGGTTTCCCAGAGCTAGGAAATTTGGAAGAGGACCAGCTAACCCAGTCATAAGCACAAGCCCCAAGGTGGAGGTTAGGAGTTTGCAGCCATGCTGCAGCAAAACCTTCCCAATCCCCAACCTGAGTCTTAAATCCCACTCACTTGGGACAGTTTTGCACAGGTCTGGAAGAAGCTCCCAAGCCCTGGAGTCACCTCCTTGTCAGCTGCAGGCACCCCAACACTAGCTGAGCCCATGATGCCTGTCAGACTTTCTGCCTCCTGCTACCTCTCCTGCCTCACCACCCACATCCTTCTCCTCCCTTAGGCACATCTCACACATTTTAAGGGTTTTCTGATTTTTATGATGACTTATAATGCCGCTAAATAGAAAGCAGACAGCAAACGCACAGCAGTCCCCCAGGCAGATTCACTAGAGCAGCCAGACATAACACTGCACGCTGCTCACACATTTTAAGACCTCCCTGCCCGATGCCATCCAGGCTGGGTGTATTCTGGTTTGGCAAAAGGCACGGGCTCGGAAAGCAAATGAGCCAAGAACATCCCAGCACTGGGATGATTTTAATTTGAAACAAGCCATGCTGATGCGCAGCAACAAAAGGCTTGGGGAAAACTGATTTCTCTGCTTCAAAGCCTGCTCTTCTTTCAGCCGAAGTCAATAGGAAATTTGACGTTCACTTCCCTGGGAGCAAAAGCAGGTCCAACAGGTAAAATTTTCTATAGACCCTGCTGGAACCTTCTGACTTGCAGTGAGACAGACTTGTAAACCACCTTTAAGGACTTTGCAAAGTTTCCTGGCTGGGTACCAGCCCTGCTCCCAGGGCACTGCAGGGAGCCAGCACCCAATAGGTCCAGGTTTCACAGAAATTGGGTGCTCACCCTCAACCCGGGGAATTTCTTACCAAGTACCATCACCAGAACCATTGCAAAAGATAAATGGAAGAGGGGAATGTATTTGCAAGTAATAGCAAATTTTTTTTCTTCCATAACCAGACCAGGTCATGCATTTCTTAATGAAACATTTTCCTATCAGAAAATGTTGACCTGAGTCATCTTAAAGGTTTTGCAGATGTGTGCATGCAGACTCCAGAGAAACCGAGTTTAGGAAAAACTACAGACATTCAGAAAGAGTCCCACCCTTTCTTTATCCTCCCCATCAAAACCTCCTAGCAACATTTTTATTTTTTGCATTTCATTAGAGCCTGAAGATTCATGTGATTTTATTCCTTTAAAAAGTGCAAGAGAAATTGAAGTTGAAACAAAGGGCCTGGTTGACCAACAAAAATAGGATTTTTTTTTAAAAAATCAATCTGGAAGGAATTTTTACATTCTGTTCCAGTAAGAACAAAAGCAAATTTGAAAAAAAAAAAAAAGAAGTCACCTGATTTGCCTGAACAGATGTGACGGTCCCGGTGGCTCTCGGCCACTAAAAGGACCGGGGAAAAGGAACAAAATGACAAGAGGTGAATCGAAAAAAGCAAGTAGCATTTCAGGGTCCTTGCCTCCCTCATCCTGCACAGCCCCCATTTATATTTCTATTTAACGCCCTGCTCCACCAGAGAACTCAAATCCAAAGCCATGACTGCAGTGATAAAGCCAGGAAACAGAAGGGAATTGCCTCATTGGTTTTGTCCGCAGTGCAGTCTTCAAACTCTCAATTGTTTTATTTCTCTCCTCCTCATCTTCTTTTTCCAAGGCTATCAGTGATTTTCTCTGTGAAAGGAGAAAGGCAGATGTGAGAGGGGAAGTTTCCCTGCGAAGCTTGTGCCCGAGGAGTGGGAGCGCCTGCCGCCTCACCATGCCAAGCCATGGGGACAGAGCTGGGACCCTAAACCGACTGGAAGTCTCAAAGTCCAGATCCTTATGGCAATTGCAGGACTCTGGAAAAGGGGCAGTTTGAAAAAACCCCCATGGTCTGCAAAGAGACGGCCTGGGCTGGGGCCAGCAGGATGAACGTGTCGCTTTAGGCTGACAACGCTGCCTGCAAGCACCTAGACAACTTGCTAGCACATGTAAAATTAGGCTGCGAGTGTTTGGGGCATCACAAGTCAGCAACACCCCAACCCACATCAGCTTTGGAGCGGTGTTGCTGACAGCCTTGCATCTCCCCAGCCACTTGGGTTTTGTTTCAAAGCAGCGGGAAACAAACATCGGCCGGTGCTGAGTGAGGCCACAGGAACCCAGTGCCCCCTTCCCCAAAACGGTCCTCACCGCCAGCAAGCTCTGGCAAGACGCCAGGCTTCATTGCCCTGAGATGACTGGGACAGCTGGATCGCCACCTTGAGAGGACACACTTAGTATTGTCCTGGGTGATCATTAAGTTCCAGAGTTAATGCCCTGCAGGTAGGAGTGGTGTCATCCCAAACTGCTGACCTGCAACTCATCCAGACAAGCCCATGTTGGAGAATGCTCACGACTGTCCCCCTGCAACCCTCGGACTCAGAGCAGTGAGAGGGAAAGGCTGCAATTCAGGAGAGGAGCATCCCAATTCATGGGCTCTGGATGTAAATCCTGGCATGTCCCCTACAGCCCACAACCCTCCAGGAAACACACCTTGTAAAAGAAAGAGGTAAATAAGTACATCACAGTATCCCACAAGAAAGTGTCCAGCTGAACCCTGCTCAGACATGCTGCAGGTGACATTCAGGTGACATGAATCTTGATGTGTTTCCAGAGGACAACCCCAGGGCTGGAGGGGGCTGTGAGGATGCAGGGGGCTAAGCCAACGCTAACTGGGGGTCCACAGAGGGAAGGTGCTAAACTGGGGCAGGGGAGAAAGAGGGGTCCTTTAGCCTCCAACATCCTGCATCTCAACAGGTACCCCTGTGCCCCTGCAGAGGAGGTGGGGGGCTCAGGGGACGCCCCGCAGCCTGGAGGGGAGAGGATGCTGCATCCACGCTTGGGGTCAGCCAGGTGGATCCTGCCAACCCTGTTGCTCCCAGGTTTCCCAGTGCAACCCACCAGTGTGCATGTGGGCTGGGGACAGTGGCTGTGTGCATGGGATGCCCTTGGCATCTCCCACACCGGATTTCGCTAGCGGGCTGGTGCTGGGGGCTGGGACCCTGCATCCTGCAGCTCTACCTGGGTAGCACAGCTGCCTGCAGCCCCAGGCAGGCACAGGGTACGGCTTGCTCACCCCAATTCATGCAACCAAGGCAACAGCTAAGGCAGCATCCCGGGTGCTTCGTGCACTACCCAATGGCACTGGGCTGTCAGAGGTGTCAAGGTGAGCCCTGCCAGCACTGGCTGAGGCTAAGCCAAAGGAGAGAGAAAGGGTCCCAGCAGATATAAAGAGCTGCGCTGACCCCTGCATTTAACCCAGCTCCTCTTCTGCAGCATGTCAGGGAGATCAAAGCCACCCCCCAGGCATCTGACAGGCTTTGATCACAAGCTCTGCTCAGGCTCAGGGCTTCGTCCAGCTGGCAGCCCGTGGCCAGTCCCGGGTGTCCCTGCTTTCCTGAAGCACGCTCCCTCCTGGCTCGCAGACCCTTGCTCGCCCCTCTGTCCGTATTCCCCCACCCAGCCCTACCTTCCCTGTCACCATGTCCCTGTGACAGCAGGGCAAAGGGGAAAAAAAAAAAAAGAAAAACGATGCTTTTCTTTTTTGTTTTCCATGCTGCTCCCACCCCTAGTGCAGTGGCCATGAACCTTGGCACCTTCAGCCTCTGAAAGCAGGACTGAGGATGGAGGGGCTCTGAACTGTGCACCCTTGCAGTAAATACAACTGTGTTTCCTACAGAAAACAGCACTATTTCTGTCTTGCTTGGCACGATGTCAACAAGAAAGTATTTCATAAAATTGCATCTAAACACGCACGTCCCTTGTGGGACGGACAACCCGCAGCGTTGTGTTTCACCGTGGCTGCCCAGCACAGAAGGGTGTCTCGGGAGCAAGGTGGTAGCAGGCATCCCTGAAAAAGCACAGGAGCTATTGGCTTCAAAGGAACCACAGCAGCTTGATGCCCCAGCAGCATTGCACAATCGGACAGGGTCTTTAAAAACCAGCCTGGTGGCTTTATATGGAAAGCTCCTGTTCGCCATCCATCTCACAGCCTCCCAGCCCGGGGCAAGATGAAATGCCCTTCCTGCCATAGAAAATGCCTCTGTTTTCCAGCTGGACCTGTTAGTCTAAGGGAGGATATCCTTAAATCCTTACATCAAGGGTTTCTGAATGGCTGGGACAAATCGCAAACTACTGCCAACTCCAAATTATCGAGAGGTCTGCAGACCCAAAAGGCTGAAAAACAGCCAGGTCACAACTTTGTGGCTACAACACTCATTGCCCTCTCGGGTGTGATGCTGGCCATGCTGCAGACTGTCACTGCTGTGCTGCTGCCCCATGTGGGGTTCACAAGCGCCAAAGCACTGGGGAAATACTTACAGCAGCCATTGAATTCAGCTGATCGATATAAAACTCCGGCCAGCTGGTGGCTCCTTTATTTTCTTCCTGGTCCTGGATGGGGAGTGGAAAAAGTGAAATAAAGACAGCAGATCAGTAGAAATAGCATAGACATCCCCTGCCTTTCATGACCAACCACCTCTGAGGTGCCCTTGAGCTCTTGCATTACTTCATATCAAAATAAGCTTGAACTTCTACATTCTGAGCTCACCATCAACAGCTCCAGCTATGGGAACATTACCTGATTTATTGAACTAGCATACTTTATATACAATCTATGTTACACCATCTGCCTGTGACCAAACTCTGCCCCAATGATACTGCATCAGTCTTGTGGTTATCAGCTTCAGAGAAACTGCACTGAAATTTTACATCCAGATTTCTCTTCTACCAACTCTACAGTGCCCCTGAAGTTTTGGCTGCACAGCCTTGATGAATGTGCTTTGCGGGGGGGGAAAGTCTCTTACTAGTAATGAAGAGTGAATAAATGTGACATGACCTGGGCTCCACTCTTGGAGCAGGACCATGACTTACCAACATCCTAAGAGAGACTCCAGGCACAACAGACAACTCCTCTGGGGACTTTATTAGCTGTTAGGAGGGAACATGCACTTGGCAATGTTCCCTGTTAAAACATGTCACCCCTGGGCCCATGATCTGTGACACTGAATCATGCAGAGCCTCATTTGGTCATCCTGGTCTACAATGCCCTGCATCTGGCGGGACTCACAAGGGGTTTTCAGGTTCTACCATGTTCTTGTAGGACATGACTGAAGGACCTCTGAGCCCAGCTTAGATAAATAACGCTGCATGTCCCCAGGGACTGCTTGGAGCAAGTAGGCAGCTTTTGAGGGAATACTTAAAAATCAATTTTTCCCCACTGTATTTTCCTAAAAACTTGTATCAAAAGAAGAAAAAGGATTCACAGCAGAAATGCCACACAGGTCTAGGCTGGAGTCAACTGATACTATGCAAATCCCAGACATCTTCCCTCAGTAACCATCTTCAGTTCACAGCCCGACTCGCTGCATGGCTTTGCCCCCTCCCTAACTTTAAGAGATGCTCGCAAAGGTCATCCTACACCACTGCCTGTGACGGTGGGAGCTGGACAACCTACTCTTCTGCCCCCACGTCCGTGCATGCAGACAACTACTGATCCCCCGGCTGATTTCTGCAAGCCCAAGGAGCAGAGTCCCAAATATTTACTGCAGTTCAAGAGGCATATGTGGGAAATGTTTGTGCATCCAAACTTCCCAAGCTGCAGCTTGCTAAGTTGAGAATACAAGGAGTCAGCAATATGTAATTTCAACGGGACTCAGTTCCCCCACAGGCAGTGCAGCCTGTCCCTGCAGAGCTGACCCTTCACTGTGCCTGGCTCTGGGATGGGGACAAAAGAAGTTTGAGAGCAACATGGGACCTGGTAACCCCTGCCCTCTGCTTTAATACTTTGGGTTGTTCTCCCCTCCTCCTCCTGCCAAGAACCGAGGTTTTGAACTAAACACTTGATTCACGTGCCCTTCACATTTCATTTTTTTTTAGGCAAGCAGGAATCAGCAGAGAGTGAGAATTTCTCTGAAATGTTAGAAAAACAACAAAAAAATCTGTCCTACCCATACTAGTGCCAAACCTAATAAACCTGAAGGAGGTCCCACTGCCTGCCTCTGCATGGACCATTCATAGTCATGCTCTGGCAATTATTTTTTGCCAGCAACAAATAAAACCATCTCCATCCTGTCCAAATAGTGCTTTAAAAAAGAGAAATGCTCATCTGCTAGCTGAGTGTGGAACACCCAGCCTGATGGGGAGAGACAGGGATGCCTTTGGTCTTTTCACAGCCAGGAAAAATAGGATGCACTGGCTTCTCTCTGCTTTCCCCTCTCCCGAAAACTCGCCTCCAGCAAAGGCAAGAGGATGGAGAGGCAGAGACCTCTCGCCGTCAGCTGGCAAACGGACTTGGTGAAACAATCCTCTCCAAACAACCAGGGACTGTCTGGCTGCCCATCCTGACACATTTCTGGCCACGTCTGGGACCACGTGCAGGGACTGTCACCTGCCACCATTGAGTCTGTCCACCCGAAGCCATGGCAAGGGGGAGGCTTCCACTGTGGTGGGGGAAACCCAATGCCTTCCCCAGGGGCTGGGAAGAGGACACCCATTTGCAGCTGTCTGGTTGATCAGAGGTTCCCACCGCTGGATTGTGCAGAAAAGCACCTGCTGTGCCTGCAGGAATCCCAACAGCTGGCATGTTCACTCACACGCAGACTGCTGAAAGACATCCAGGTTGTCAGAAAGATGCTCAAGAGCATGGAGAATGTGTCAGTGGGCTTGAGAAACAGAGGTGTAATTTATATTTATGAGTTGAATGGAAAGGCATAAATTATACCACCACCTTTTGCAGAGGAAGATCTTCTGCTTCTCCTGAGTGGGGTGGGAAAAGTAGACCATCATCTTTTGCAAAGTATTTGTCACCCCACGGAAACACACATTATTTCTGCAACCTGTGGGTTAGAGATGTCAGTTTAACCCAGGCGGAACCACCAGCCCCTGGGAGCAAGATGGGAGCAGGACACCGGGGAACTGCCCATGGCCAACCACCACAGGGATGCAGGGATGTGAGGTCAGGCTGCACCTGATGGCAGGTTCAATCTGCAGAGCATCACTTGCGTTATTTTCCTGCAACCAAAGGCAGTTTCTTGGTGCTAGCCTTATTCAGTGCCACCCACCCATCCTGCTGGATGACCCCATGGTCCCTCAGTGGTGCTGAGCAGCTGGGGTGAGGCTCAGGCCACCTTACTGCTTGGTGACAAACCTGTCTGCCACAGGCAGCCAGGTCTTTCTGGTTTCTCAGCTCACATCCCACGCCTTCCTGAAGGACACTCCCATCTGCTCCTGTGTGCAAAAGCACACCCCTCCCTGGTACACACAGCCCTACACAGCATGCTGTCTATATGCACCAGAAACAAGAGAGAGCATGTACACGTGGCGGAGGCACTGAAGAAGAAGGGATGGATGCTGAGGAGCTGCAAACCCCGTGCACGTCTGCCAAGACACCCTTCCGAGCCATCCTACGCTCTGCTGCAGGAAGGCTCTGCACAAACCCTGCAAAGCATGCCGGCAAAGATTGTTATTTTCCCAGCCTTCCTGCCCTGCTTTAAGTACCCAGCACTGTTTTGCTGGCATGCAAACAGTGTCCTGGCGGATGGCAGAGCTGTGGCACCCACATGCGCCTTGAACATGGTCCAAAAAGGGACCAGCTTCTGTAACCTGGAGACATCACTGGAGGTCCTCCCCATCACCCTGGGGTACCATCAGCACATCTTATAAGGAGCATCCCTCTCCCACCAGTGCTCCCACCAGCAACACCAGCTGGGAAGGGTGGTGAGGTCCCCACCATTGCACAACACCAAGAGATGATGGGCTGTACCCAACCAGGAGATTTGGGCAGGAAGGAAGACCCATACCGAGGAATGGGGTGGGAAGGCAGCGGGGCCAGCTCATCCCGTATCTTAGGGCCTATCCATATGGTGCAAACACCTGCGAGGTGGGCAGGGATCTGGACCTGCTGCTCATTTAGGGCTGAAAGGAAGCAGTAGAGCAAAAAAAAGAAAGGTCTCCGGGGGGTGGAGGGGAGGCTGAACAACAAAATTGGCTAAACTGCTCATTTATAATTAACATGCTGCATTATAAATATTTCCCTTTGCTCCGCTCCCTCAGGCTCTTGCATTTCCTCCCTGAAACCCCCAATTTAGAGAGTGCTCTCAATTAAGTGCAGCAGAACCTCATTAATTCAGATGAGCAGCCGGGCAGGCTCATTGGAAAGCAGCTTCCCAGGCAAAGGGGGGCTGCACAATAAAGCAGGCAAAGATCAGGGCATGGGCTTCCCTCAGCTCACTGCAGGACATTGCTCAGTGGTAATTACTGTGGCTAATGGTCTACAACACACTGATAAGTGTCCTTTAGTGCATTCAGCAGTGGTAAAGAAATCTCCCAACAAAGCAATGAGCCCGGAGGGAAGTGACTCACAAGGCTTTGCTCAGAGCCAGAAAGAGGGAGGAACCTCTCCAGGCATCCCGGTTTAAAAGGGTGAATTTGTAAGATGGTTTCCCAGCACCCAGGGTGGGTGTTGGGGATGTGAGTTTTGCAGCCTGCCTTTGACGAGGGATGCCCAGACACAGAGCTGAGCACCACCAACATCAGCTCTCCAGGATGCTCCATTGTATCCTGCCCAGCTGGCACTAGGGAAACAAGCATCTCTTCTTCTCTGGGCTGTGTTTAGGTCTTTGCTCTCAAGAAGCATAGAAGCGAGGGCTGATCCAAACCCTGCTGACAGCCTGATGCTGTGCTGCTGCTTACTATGAGCTGCTCTTTTAGAGGCAGGCTGATGGCCATAATTGCATGGTGCAGGGATGGGTATCCCTTCTAATCTGTAACATTTGCATCAACATCCCCCACTGTCCTCCGGGAAGTGGCCCCGGCTGCCACCACACACATGCTCTGCTGCAAAAATTAGGAAATGTCAGTTGTGCAGCCCAGGGCAATCTTTGCCCCGTCCCCCTCTTTGTTCCCACCCGCTCCCCCCAACACCCACTTCTTTCTTCTAGGGACCTAGCAAAAATACAAATCACATCAGCTGTGGCCCTGGCGTCACTGTGCCCTCTCCTGGCCTCCACTGCCCCTTCGCCCCCAGGCTCTGTGCAGGGCTGATGGATGCTGCTACTCAGCTGGTTTGCACCACGGTGCCAGTGGCAGGGGGGGTCATGGTGTGAACCCGATGAACAACCCCCATCCCCTCCACTGGCGCCAGGTGCCGTGGGGAAAGCAGCACCCAGCCAAGATGCCTCATTAGCGGGAACTTTTGCAAGGTCCCCGATCTGCCAGCTCGAGCCATCCCTTTGCTCTTCCCGGGGAGATTTCACGCTCCCCAGCCCTGCCACATCTTGGTTACAAGCCTGACACTTCCACAGCCTGCGTGCCACCCCCTCGGGGTGGTGGCAGCTCCCACAGCCTCAAGTACCCTTGCTCTTCCCAGAGACCCTCCTCAGGACACCAGGCAG